TAAAAAATAATAATTAAAATAATTATTCTTAAATCATTTTTCTTTTACGGTTAGAGAAAGCGAACAGGATGGGAGATAATGTGTGACACGTGGCAGATGATGGCTCGCTCGTACTCGTGACTCATGGGTAAAGTGCATTTTTATCTTTGATTTTTTATTCAAGTGATAAACGATAATTGCATTTAATAAGGGTCAACAAATTCATTAATTTTATTATATTTAGTAAAACAATTAATATAAAAAAATTTAAAAAAATTAAAAAATGTTAAGTGAATCTTTTATAAGAAAAATTGTGAGAAATTTTTTTAAAAAATATAAGAAAAAATTTAATGATTAAAAATTACATAAAAAATAAAAAATAAAAATGTTATTTTTATTTTTTATTTATCATAATTTTAAGTATATAAATTATTAAAATAAATCCTAAAGGGAACATTTCTCACAAAAGTAAACCTAACATCCCTATGTGCTTTGCAGGTTCATTAAAAATAAATAAAAAAATTTTAAGATTATTTGTGAAACTTTTTGCTTTTAGTAAACATCATGTATATTGTTACATAATAATAGAGTATTAAATGAAAAATATTACAATCATAGCATTCTCATTTACTCTAACTAGGTAGACTTGTTGATAATATCATTTCTATTTGTATATTTTGTTGATAATATTTATAGCCAACAACTACATGAGTTGAGAAAATATGTATAAAATTTTAAATAAGTATTATATAATTTAAACTATATTAGATTATTTAACTTAAATTATTATATAAATATAAATTTTTCATTAAAAATTATAACATTATTTAATAATTTTTATTATAATTAATTACAATTTAAATTATAAATAAAAAATTTATAAAACGTATAAGTACGAAAATAATAAAACCTGCTTTCACATCACCTTACCAAGAAATTTTGTTGATAAGCGATTTTAGATAGCTGTCGTGAATGCGAAAGAGATGGGAAGGGACCTCTCGTGAACGCGAAAGAGATAAGAAGAGACTCTTTGGAGAAAAAAAAAAAAAAAAACCTTAATTTAATGATTGATTCATTAATTATTAGTTTAATTTTATTTTAGTTTAGAAAGTTAATTTTTTAAAATAATTTATAAATTTTATAAAATATTTTAAAATAATCAACTATATAAAATATCTATAAGTTTCAAAAAAAATTAAATAAAAATAAAAATAAAATAATTTCAATCAATAAAGCAGTTCATGTCAATAATTGTAATTTATGTTACAAAAGAGAATTGTAAAAAAAAAAAAACTAAAGTAATATGTGATAAAATTATAATTTTTCAAACAGTGAAAAAGAATTTATCATCATTATTATAAAATTAATTTTATATTAAAATTAATTTTAATAAATAAAAATTTACAAAAAATATAATTAAAAATTAATTTGATTAAATGAATTGAGATTATGATTAAAAAATTAATAAGTTAAAGCAAATAAAAATAAAAATAAAAATAATTAATAGAGAAATTTAAAAGTATTTAAATATAATAAAAAAATTTAAAATATAAAAGTTATTATACTATTTAATATTATTATTATTATTTTGAAAAAGGATAGTTGTTGTCTTGGTAAAAATATTTTTTTTTTTTGAAAAAAAAAAAGGCAATGGGTAAAAAAGTTTAATTGGTAAAATACAAAAAAGGAGAATTGACTACAGTAAAATAATAAAACATTATGTTAAATGCAAAATGCAACGAGATTCGGTTTTCAGCATCAGGAATGTTTTTTTATGTTGACCTTAATTAGGATGCTGAGCAGCTGAAGTCTGTTCCGGGTCTACTTAAAATAAATATGGTTTCGTATTTCAGATGGATTATTATATCTGCCTCGAAGTTGATGGGCAAAACAACCTTCCCCGCTTAAGACCTACCCAAGATTAAAGAAATGGCATGGGCTGCTGGAGTGTAGATTCGACAAATCTGTGCTTTGAAGATCTACTTGCATGAGGGAGATGAGAGAGGAGAGATATAGGTTTTTCTCGCTATCTCGTGTTAAATATTAATTAAATTTTTGTATAAGAAATTTTAAGTTTAACCTTTAAAATATATAATAAATAAAATATCTATATAATAAGAATAGAACACACAATAATTTTAAAATTTAAAGTTGTGCAAAATTCTATGTACTTGATTTAAACTCACACATCCATAACCAATATAAAATAAAAATCCCACAATTAAGGTTTTTAAGCGACTATAACATGACAAATATGCCTCTTTAGGCCTTGGCATAACGATATTAAGTTTCAAAATATATACTCTCTCCATTCCACAATATTAGTCGTTTTAGGTTGAAGTTTTTGTTTTCATTTATTTGTTGTTTTGGGCAAATCAAGATTTCTTTAATTTTTACTTTTACTTTCACTTTTATTCTCCAATAAAGACTTAAGAGTCTTAAGCTTTTTGATTCTGGAAAAGAAAAAGACTCTTCGCCTTCCTTCATTTCATCTGAATTATGAAAAACCTACAATATTCAAAATGGTTATTCAATTTCTCTTATATTTCCAATACATTAAATCTACTCTTATTGACTTTCAAAATTTCCATTTAACAATGATTCTTAGAGGTTTGCCATTACAAATTTTAGAAAAAAATCAATGGAAGATAGAGAACCAAAGGAGGGGAAGAAATTTGTGTTAGATGCTGATTTGAATGCCCCTACAGTAGAAAGAATGGATATTAACTTGAATACTTCTCTGGAAGAAGGAATTGACATTAACTTGAATGCCCCAGCTCGTCGTGAATTGAATATCGACTTGAACATCCCTGCTGATCGTGGAATGAATATTGACTTCAATGCTCCCACTTGATTGGATATCAACTTGAATGCTCCTGCAGATCTTGGATTTGATCTAAACAAAAATGCAATACCACAAGTTTTTGTAAAGGAAAAATTGCAGCAGGTATGTGAAGATATGCTAAAAATTTTGTTTCCATACTATTTTTAAGTAATCACTCTTGCAATATGGAGAAAGGGGATAGATTAGGAAATTGGAAACAAAGGATAGAGGCAGAGAATTTTCCATTGTAAGGGGTTCTAACCTCTGGGTTTTTGGTCTAGCTTTTTCGAAATCTTGCTAGTGGTAGAGAAAAAAAAAAGTAACTCTATTGGAGATGGAGGGTAGAACCAATCTCTATCATATTCCTAGTTCAGAAATTGAATAAAAGTTTTTATTCTTTATTTTCATGTGCATTTTATTCTATTAGTAATTGGTTAACTTTGGTGAGAGTTGTTTTAATTCCTTGATTGTTTGGTTTATAAACAAGGTGATCTGAAGGGTTTTAGATAAAATTTTTGCAATGCCCACCAAATGTTTGATGAATGGATAAAGATATGTGCACACCCGGGTCAACACCCGGGTGTGCACACTCCCCCATTGAAAAAAAAAAAAACCCAACCCCACCCAGTCCCTTTTTTTTTTGTTTCTATGTGGGGGTGCACACCCGGGTCAACAGCGGGTGTGCACCAATCAGCATCCTTGATGAATTGTTTGAGTGGGGTTCTACTAACTTTTTTTGCTTGGTAGAAATAGGAATCATGTGACACGTAATACATGTATGTTAATTGCATCAAACAACCATATATAATTCTTCTCCATTGAATAATCAATGGATAACTAGTGCTATAATGTGCATATTTATGATTGCTTCATTGCTATAATGTGCAGATGATTTAATTGAATTGTTGTGCCTATTGAGAATGGACAAACTACTAAAAAAAAATTGATGGTTGTCTCTATACTAGTTAAGGGTGAAACATAACTTTATTGTGTACACTAGGAAAAAAGATTTTTCTTGCATTGTATTCATTGACTAATTAACCTTAATTAGTTTTATAGTTTGAGTTGGTCTTATTGTAGTAAATTATTGCAATTAAGGTCTCAATAATAACTTTAATGATTCACATCTTATAGTACATTTTTTTTACTTTCTATTACATTATGTTTTTTTCTATTATTATTATTATTATTGAATAGTTGATGGGAATGGCTGAGGGAAGTAACCAAGAGCATGCTAATTTTCATATATATATATATATATATATAAATATAAAAACCCTTTTAAGCAGTGATATACATCAATGACAAGAAATGGTTAAAATAATAGGATAACTAGTGCATGTTAAATCCTTTCATGAGATTAATGCAACAATAGGAGATGTTTCTTTCTCTTTCAATAATTAGTGATACAAGCTGAGTTATTATATAAATTCATTAAAACCTTGCAACAAGAAAAATAAGTGATGTAGTTAAAAGGATATTTTTCAAATGACTTCAAATACAAAAACCTGATTTATTAACCAAGTGACCACAATTCGATCACAAAAGGTAGAAACTGATGACAGAAAGTTTAACTTAAATGATTGAGAACTTCTTGTACGAAGGTCGAATCAGATCTCAACTGGGTAGGAAGTTGGCCTATATTATCTAATGTTGCTTTCTTCATATGTGGAATTTTATAACTATTGCCCCCATTAACCTTCATAATTTCTATCATACATGATTGTAATGTTAGAAATATGTAGTTTGATTTAGTTGTTGAGAAAGCTTCAAATGACTTCTCAATAGGATTAATAAGATCTTCAATATTTTTTGGGGCCTCCTTACATTGTAAGGGTTGAATGGCACTAAAAAACCCAAGGTCCAAGACATTTAAATCTCGAGAGTTTGCTGGTTGGCACATCAATCAAATGTCAAAACCTTCTTTTGTGGCAACTCGACAAAATTCTTCATCATTACGATCAATATGTGTTCTTGCATTGTCTTGCTGATGAAAGATGGGATGCTCGAAATCCTCTCTTGGCCACTTTGCTTTAATCATAGGTATGACTTTATCAATCAGACATGCTTTTATGGTTTCTTTTTTCACTGAAGTAACTGCTTTTGTCTCTAATGTACCAGCAACTCAATTGACACTTGTTCTTTTAGTTGGCTTTTTGGTAATGAAAGGAAAGACACAAATTTTCCTCGAAAAAAGTTCATTTCCCTGCGAATCAAACCTTGGGTGAGCTATGACAGCCATAAACATAACCTTTTCAATATGATTCTTGCTTCTAATGGTGCGTAACTTTTTTTTTCAATAGGTAGTATGTAATAATTTTCAATCTTCTTTGTCATATAGAACCATTTTTCGTCAATATAAATTATATTGTACGTCCTGACGAAAACTGGATCATGTGATATACTAGCTCTCTCAAGCATCAAAATGCAAAATTGCAATCTAGCACGCTTATGTTCTTCATTCAACAATGGCTTCATAGCATTTGAGTACCGCTGTATTTCTCTAGACTTTAAGCATCTAAACAATGATGTCGTGTTTGTTTTCAATGACTTTGCTAAAGATCGAAGGGTCTTTCTTCTTTGAAAAGGGATCTCAGACATTTGAGACAAGTTAATTTGGACCCTTTTACAACCGCAGTTTGTCTTTTTGTGAGATACTTCACTACCAATTTTTAACTGTCTCCAAATGCGTTGAACAGTTCGAACAAACACCTTAAACTCTGATGCCACTATTTTTGTAGTACCTCTCTTCAATTTTCCATCAACACTTTTTCACAACAATACGCTATATTTAGCTCAACGGGCATCATTGGACAAATTATTAATAATCTGTTTGCGAGACATCCACATTTATATTCTACTCATCAATATTGCCTGTTATTAAAATACAATAATATTAGAAAATTAAATTTGTTAATACAAAAATGAACTCAAATTGAAAGTATAATTGAACTAATCTTATAAAAGCCAAATGACATTAGAGTTCTATAGAAAAGGTTTAAAATAACATACCAGTGAAAGGCATATCAAAACATGATAAAAAAAAAAAAACAATATGCAAACTAAAGAAACTCAAATTATTAAAATAGCATACCAGAACATGAACCAAAAAAAAAAAAAACAATAATATGGAAACTAAAGCAAAACTAAAATTATTAAAATATTATACCAAAACATGAACCAACAAAAAAATGTAAACATGAGAAAAAAATAAACTTAGAAGAAATTATACAATTCAATTAAACTACCAAAATTATTTTTGAATGAACCATACTATTATAGGAAGTAAAACTTTCGTGGGAGGGGCCACAACACTTGTAAAGATTTAAAAAAAACACACCTGTATCTTCTTGTGAAAAAGCATTATCTATGCACGACATCACATTTAAGTCCAATGAAAAATAATTTGATGAAGAGCCATTCAAGTTTACATTTGTTTCAAACTCAATTATGGGAGAATCTTGATGGAAATTGATGTCAATGTTCAAAGATAACAACTAAAATTAATAAAAGAACAAGAAAAAAAAAATTGGTAGCAACAACTCAAAACAAGAGTTTAGTACTAGAATATAAAGGAAACGTACCTATAGTAATGTTTGCTTCTTGTTGCATATGTTAACCATCATCATTTACACATGGCTCCTAGTATAAGTCCAATGAAAATTGATTTGACAAAGAGCTATTTGAGTTTACATTTATCTCAAGCTCAATTACAGGAAAATCTTCATTAACAATATTCAAATCGGGAAGAACCACCCTTGCTTCCTTTTCCTATGTATATTCCCCAATAATAGGAACAATATTGAGATCTAATTCACATAAAGGCATTTGTTGCTTTGCCATAGCACCAATTATCACTGTTGAGATGAGCATCAACTTGGAGAGAGAGAATTTTATAGGCAATTTTTCTAGCGGGAAACAAAATTGAGGAACCAAAATTAGAATATATTTTGGGTGGTATTAGAATGAGAAATAAGTGAAATTGAATTGAATGAAGGTGTTGGAAACTTGGAATTGCAGCTAAGTCTTTTGGTGATCGAAACGACGGTTAGAAGAAAAGATCAGAGGGAAAGGGAACCGGCTGGTAGATGGAACTCCTTGAAGAAAAGGGTTAAATTGTCTTTTTATTTTATTTACCACTAAAATTAAGAATAATTAATCATTGTCTTAATTCTTGTGCAAAAGACTTAAACGACAAATATAGTGGAACAGAGGAAGTAATAAATAAAATAATAATTTGAGTAGACATAAAGTTATTAATATTGTTAATTCTATTTATTTGTATATAAAATTGTTGGTTATAGATAAAAAAATGAAAGGCATACAATATATATTTTTTATTTTAGGTGGCATAAAATTATAATTTTTTTATTCTTTTATTTATTTTACTTGTATATCTACTATTAGAATATAGAATTTTTTGCTTTATTTAGAAAAAAATATATAGCTGCTAGATTGCTTAATGTCGTTGGCAGACATACAATAATTTTATAAAAAGAAATGCCATGAAATGGGTACAGGGTGCTGACCTGCTAGGGAAAAGGATCAGGAGTTGAAGAGCCATGGCTGGAGGGTTGAAAGTGTTAGGTAGGTGAGTGAAAGTATTGAGACACGGTACTAAGCTCGATAGCAGTCCATAATTATTCATCAATTTATCATCTTGCAAGGGATTACATGTGTTTGAACAAAATCCGAGTTGAGCTTTAATGGCGTTTTGAGTTTAGTTCCCACCTGAAACTAGGATTTGATTGTTTAACCAAAGCTAAAGTTTGAGATTGAGGAATTTGGGAATATGACGGGGCTTGGGCCGCATTACAGGGTCGGCGAGTGTGACATTGAAGACATGAAGTTGCCGATCCATGGGCTTGAAGTATTAGGCTCTCCTGGCTAAGCCTAGAACTTTTTGGCCCAAAAAGAGAATTTTCCATTTTATCAGTGGCGGTCAATGGGTCCGGAAGTAAAGGTTCCACAGCCGTCAAATAATCTAAGAGGGGTGACCGGTTGCAATCACGTGTTTTTCCATACACACCAATTTTTTTGCGAAATAGTAATTATCCCCCTTTTTTGTTTTATGTTGGTTGCATGAGGCAACCGTATTTTTAAATTTTTCAGGCTTAGAGTGAAATACTCTCAAAACCTTCAAATTAAACACATCTTAATAATATGTTTAAATTAAGGGAAGGAAGGTATTTTACTGTTGTGATTCATTGGTGATCACTACAGTCCAACAAAACTACCGGTAGATTGTATCCTGATTAGTAATAAAATTTTATCAAAAGTAAAATACTATCCTAACATTTAATTTTTAACCATTTTTCTTATAAAAAAAATAAAAAAAATGAAGAGAACGAAGGGAAAGAAAAAATTTTATCTAGTTAAAAAAATTTAAAACAAAAAACTTCTTGGTTTTCGTGCACTGTTTGGGGCCGCTCCGACTTGTCCTCCAGCGTTAAGATAGCCAACAGCGCCGTCTCCGGCACGGGATCCCCCAATTTTGGCGTACCCATCAAGGAAAAGACACTGTTGTCCCGTGGGGTGCTATTCAAGTGCGGGCAAAACCGATTTTAGTAAACTGTCCCTAAAATTTTAATGCTTTTTAAATCTTTCGTCTCTTAAGATTTATCTCTTTTTCTTTTTTTCTTTTTTCTTTTTCTTTTTTTCTGTTTCTGCTGATAATTTGGATTCGAATTTCTATTTAAGGGTTGATTTTTAGGACATCATTAGCTCTGAAATTAACTCAAGAGGGCTTTGAGTTTTTTGTTTGTTTGAGCAGATAATGTGCTTCAACCTTCAAAGTGTTTTTGTTTTTTTTTTTTGTTTTTGGGTACATTTCAAACTTCAAAGTGTTGATCCTACCGTGGCTTTTGCCTTTTGGTCTGATTCTAGGAAGGTACAGGTTTTTCGAGGGAAATTGTGGTGCTGGACATGTAGAAAACTAAAGAAAAGAGTAAGAATTGAGATTATTGATTTGTTTTCACTGTATTGTTTCTTAATAAACCATAACAGGAACAAAAATAAAAAAATCGTCCTTTTTTGTTTTGGTATCATCATCTAGTATTTGAAAGTGATAGTAACTGAGTTAGGTTGAATCCAATAAAAGAAACCTCTCTCGATATATATTTTTTAATTTATAAAATTTGAATTTAAAATTTTATTTAAGAAAATTAAGTTTCTTTCGCTTAGGTCAATAAGTTGTTAATAAAATAGTCTATTCCATATTTTAAAAATATAAAATTTTAACATTTTTCAATGAGATTTTATTGAAATAAAGTCATTTTACAATGATTTTTCTCTTAATTTTTGAGAGATAAAGTTAAGAGTACTATTTTTAATCATTCATCTTTTCACTTTTAATCATTCATCTTTTCACTTTTAATAATTGAGATTTATTATAATTTTTTAAATAAAAAAGATAATTATCTTTAATAAATATAACAAAATGTGAATAAATTTTAATTATTAAAAGTAAAAAAATATAAATAGTAAAAAATTTATATAAATGTAATATATATATAAAGCTTATGTATAAGTAAATTCTACTCATATATATATATATATATAGGTGTAAATATATGCCTAAATATGTACAAGAGCATTGCCTTTCAACGTTGCTCAATCTTTATGCTCTATGATCAATAGTTTCCTTTTTCTGATATTCTTGACCGTTGCTCAATTTCTTTATTCTATGATCAATAGTTTCCTTTTTTTGATATCTTGTTTCCTTACTTGGTTCGTGGTTTTACAGTCATCAATGGACAGTCTTTAATTTGATTCTGTTGAAGCTTTAGGGTCATTTCTAGCTCCAAGGATGAAACTTGACTTTACATGTTCAATCACTTTCAGTCATAAAAGATGGTTAATTTAGGAGATTAATTAGTAGGTCCTACTTCAGTCTTAACTATTTTGTAAGTTGAGTCTCTGATTTCTGGACTGAAGTCAATTGCCGGGTTACCAGGAGTCCTGTTCTGGGAATTATAGAGATATAAAAATGGTTTTCATGTCCATCTGGGGTTGAAGGCTCAACAGCAGAAGAGATTTATTCAAGTACTTAATTCTTACGTTAATTTTGCCTTATGGTGAGGAGCAGGAGCCCAGGATTGGCTCCCCAATAGGCGTTCGGTTTACTTAACTTTTCTTGGAATGCTTACACTTTATTGTCAAAAACTAGACACTTTATTGTGCTTTTGTCTCATGGCTGTCGTTTTTCAAGGTTTGTGGGGTTAATTTGTTATGGAATTTCCGGGTCCATTCCCGGATGGTGTTATTGCCACAGCCACTACTGTTAATATCACAGCTTTTTTTAATTATTTGACTATTATACCCCTCATTTGAATCCAACTGCAGCAGTCACCACCTT